TTTAACGATGTTAACACATTAAAAGATGAGGAAAAAGCTCAAAAAAAGAAAAGGAGGTTGACTTCTAGTGTCTGGGGACATACTGAAATATTGCCACTTGCAAAGGATGAAAAACAACGTTGCAAATGTAAGAAATGTGAGGCAAGATACTTATGTGATAGTAAAAATGGTATAAGAAATAGGAGATGTCACATGCAAAACTATAAGAAAAGGAACTCTCATGATATTGGTCAACTTACTCTTCAAGGTAACACCAGCACATCTATTTCCATGATTGAAAATAATAAAAAATTTTGTAGCTTATTTATTGCATGTTTAGTTATGCATGATTTACCATTTCAATGTGTGGAATGAGCCGATGTTAAAGCATCCTTCAAAGGACTTATCAAGAGGCATGCCTCTTAGACTAGCATGTAGTCATGTACAAGCATTAGTCCAAAGCACAACCTGTCTCTCCCATTCAGCCTATCTTGTGCCCTCAAATTCCAATAAATACGGGGTAACAAGGAATATTGAGAAGAACTCTAGACCTTTAAAGAACAATAGATTTCTTTTAGAATGGTTAAATTGTATTCTCGATTACGATAATTTAAGATTTTCCTAGCCTAAATCTTCTCTATTTATTTCCCTATCTTATCCCCACCTACTTTGTAAAGGCCGGTTACACCGATTCAGTTGAACAGGCCAACCCTAATTAGAAATCTTGCGTACGTGCGGGAAGCCTCCTTGATGGCTCGAATCGCTCTGTCGAGTGGAGTCTTGTGATCGAACGTGAAAGGTAGTGAATCCTTAAGAGAAATAACCTTCTTTTCACACACTCGTGGCAGAAAACGAAAGTTAGAAGTTCAGTCAAGAGGATTGAGCGGAAAGGAAGGAGAAAGGAATTAAGTCTATTTATTTGTATTAATTTTTATTTTGTCATTTATCCCAGGATTAAAACAAAAGGAACAGTTGACATTTAACTTGAATGTATAGGAAGAAATTTGAGAAGGAAAGGAGAGAAATTGAAAGAATGTCAACAAGGTTTTGGAATATAATTACATTTAATTTAAGATTTATTTATGTTCAAGTTTTAGAAATTTATCGTCGATTGATGTAAATTCAAGAGTAGGTTAATTTTCATAAATTAAAAAAGTTAAAAATTTAATGAAGAAGAGAAAAAGAGAATGTAGAATTTGAAGTTCTTCCATTTTCTGGCAACGTAGAAAAAGTTAAGTAATCTAATTATTATTTACATTCAAATTTATTATTTTGAATTTATTTAATTAATAAAATAATAAGTGATTTGAGGTAAGTTTGTATTTGGGAAATTTTTAATGAAAATTAAAAATGAAAATAGTTATGTAATTGGATGTGTAATTTTTGGTTGCATTAAGGGGCCAATTATTTGAATAGAATTAAAGTAAAAAAAAATAATTAAAGTCAGTAATTACAGATATTTATGAAAATTTTATTATATTATTTTATCTAAATTCAAAATGTAATCGTTTATATATTTGTTCATGCAAAATAATGTTGATTCAAATGTATATGTGACAATCAAAAATTGATGGTAAGGATTTATATGATTATTATGATATATATATATACATACATACATACATACATACATACATATATATATATATATATATATATATATACATATATATATATATATATATATATATAAGAAAGCCCATGCATATATATATATAAGAAAATTGAAATGAAAGTAGGTAAAATGTGTTTATTATTAAAGTATATTCAATGTACAAGTAGTGTTAGTGACTCCTCAGTGTTTGAGGAATACTAATCATTACCGTTATGTACAATTATGGAAAGAATGTATTATCGTCTAACTGCTTGTTCCCGCCACATTAATTCGAGTCTCCGGGCCGGATCGTGACAAAAGTGGTATCATAACACAATTAGGATATGAAACATATTGAAAGAGCCATTACGTTGATTATTGAAGTCGAATTGATAATAAATTACGAATTTCTAAGAAATTTTAATTGTATTTCAGGGGACAGAATGATCCTGAAGAAGATGCAGAACGAGCAATGTCTAATATTGTTGTTAACCTAGATGCACGGACACAAATGATGACAGCAATGACTCTGTTGTTTCAGGACTCAAGGAATCAACCATCAAGAATTAGCAGTGACAGTAGTATGATCATGGATAAATATTTAAATCTTTTTCAAGATATGAAACCACCGCTATTTAAGGGAGTAAAGGGACCAATTAAGACAGAGAATATGTTGCTAAGGATTGAGAAGATTTTAGAATGAATGTTATATCTTGAAGAGAGAAAACTTTCATTGGCAACTTTTATACTGGATGGTGAGGTTGAAAAGTGGCGGAGCAGTCACCATCAGGATAAATTTGGAGTGCTTAGCATTCAGATTAAGTTGGATGATTTTACTCAGGTATTCAAATGCTGGTTTGTACCACTTTTTGGATAATATGTATATATATATATATATATATATATATGTTTTATGTCCATAGCAAAATAATAATTTTCTCATCATTGATAATATGTTATTTTCTTTGTCGTGCTCGATGATAAAATATCTCAATCTGTTGAAGATGATAAAATTTATTCAATAGATTTTCTAGCAACGCCACTGTGGACAATGCCTTTTTTCATCTAAACTAGTTTTATTTAGTCATATTAGGCTAAAAATTTATAAAATTAATTTCTATACTAGAAGCTTCTCGACTTCATTCTTGGGTTAAGTGATGACAATACAAGTAAAATGTCTTTCAAAATGAATTTTAAAAAATCACTTTCAAAAAAAGAAATCAACTTTTTCTACATCAACTTTTTCAAAAAAGCAAATTCAAAGAGATCCAATTTTTAATCTCCTTCATACCTATGATAGCGGTGGTTGTATGAATGCAAAACCAAGCAACGCCAAGTTGTATGAGACTTCCAAATCCATCAAAATTCATTCATCATCCACCAGCAAAAAAATAATTGTCTTTTGGGATAACATATTATTTCTTTGTCATGCTCAATCACAAAATATCTCAATCCGTTGAGGATGACAACATTAATCCAACACATTCCATAATAATGCATAAATTAAGGCATTGTCCAGCTCCTAAATTGTGCACTTCCATAGGGTGATATTAATATTGTAGGATCTAGAACCAGAACTATTCCAATGAAACATTGACTTATCCAGCAAAAAAAAAATCATCATAAATGCATATTTTTAGTGAAATTCCATTGGGAGCATTACGGGGAACATATAGCCAAGTAGCTAACAGAAAATACACTTAGAGAAAAGATTCTGAATTATAAAGCAGAATGCACGAAATGAATATAAAGTTTCAAGCTGATACATTAGGTCAAACGAAATAATGCAAGCAATCAAGATATGAAAATGAATATATCCTCGTGAGAAAGCTACATGGGACCAGCCAGGAACAAAGCCACCACTAAGAACATGGCAGACAGAAAAAATTTATGCATCTTGATATCAACCTATATCCATATATGCTTAAGGATGCTAATCATCAATTATTAATCCGGTCAGTTAAATCAGATAAAGCCAGAAATAACGACCAGCTCACAACAGCAATAGAAATAATCAAATGGTTCAAAACCAAAACTAGATGACAGACAAAACAACAAAACGGATGAATTTAGAAGTAAAACAGACTAAAAAAACTACAGAATTATTTTAATTCTTCCAGCGACACGGCAACAATATCCCTCAAAACTCTCTTCATTATGAGCCTTACGAAACAGGCACCAATAGAAAGTTCATCCACAAATTTTCTCCTGTATGCAATCAAGGGAAATTGATCAAACTCTTTAATTAATCAGGAGAATCAAAGTCCAACTGTTAGAAACACAAAAAACATCACCATAAAGGGCATCCTATACAACCGCAACTACCAGTTGATCCCTGGATCCCTTAACAGATGATCACAAAACAAGTATGAGAACACAATAGTCAAAAAAAAAAAAAAAAGTCAAAGGAAGAACAACCAATGGGAGTTGAGAAAAACAGTAAAAGACAGTCTTAAAGATAAAAGCTCGAACCAGCTAGCGTCGATTCAATTGAACCAACAAGAAAATTCCGGCAGACATAGAGACAAAGGTAAGTCGAACGGGAAATAAAGAGTACAATCAAGCGAGAGACCTACACATTTACTGTTCAGCCTCACTCAATTGACGCATAAAGCTAGTGTCTTGAAGAAAAAAACTCTCACTAATATCAGCCTAACTGATGTGATACTTCCCCTAGGGCAAACATAAAACAAAGCCCTCAAGTGAGGGTAGAAATGAAAAAGTACAAATAACAAATAAAATACATGAAAATAAATAGACACGATCGTAGCCGTTGATCTTCGATGTCCTCATCACTAACACTCTTGCCTAAATCTAAAAAGAAACTCTCAAACATAATTCCGTGCTGAATCCATTCTTGCTTAGGTTAGGATAGCCCAATAACCTATTAGATCACTCCACACTTGAAACTACCACTAACGAGAGGTCCCTCACCATCAACATTCACGTTACAAGAATCCATGCCCCTAACCTGTTGATCTGAACACAATCCTCAACACAAGGGCACTGATACTTGAAGCTAGGGTCCCAACAGCCACTCAAAGAGTAAGGCTCTCTAACTTTCAATTCCTGGTAAAGAATGAAGGAAGTATTCTTATCATACTCGAAAATTTTGTTGAGTGTGCAAAATCTTGCTAATGTTAACCATTAATTAAAAACAAAATCAAATTTCCTTATTTTGTCAAGTGAAGACGGAGCCTAGAGGTTTTTGAGGCCATTTCATATAATGCTAAACTAAGCATAGACCTATATAAAAAGAGAGAAAAACTATCAGGTTCTTCGACACCAATAAATAACATGATTATCAAAAAGAAAAAAAGTGGAACAAGGAATCAAGAAAAAAAAAATACAACTGTATATTGATGATATGCAAGATAAATAAAGGAACAACTAATAAGTCATTCCAAACTAAGAAGCATTAACATACCCTGAGATGTTATAATAAATAATGCCTTCCCCTTGAACTGTGTTTTCCAAGATGGTCAAAGTTTCTTTAATATGCTGGCTTAATTCAGAACCTTCGTTTGATAAGAAACTTTTGAACAGCGTCTTCAAGCCATAAATCTTAAGAAACAATGCAGTGATCAAACTATTAGTTTTAATAAAAAAATTACACTAGCAATGATGATCAACTTAAGGAAAAAAAAGGATGTAGAACCAAGAAAATTTAGGAATAATTGACATTCCTACCAAAACACTGCTACGATATGCAAGAATGAAGGGGGAAAAACACTACATGTGAATCTCACCAAACATCAAGTGCCATTAGATACCAGGAGTTCAAAAAAAAAAAAGAATAAGATTTATTCACCTTATACTAGGTTAAAAACAAGTGCCCGGATATTTAATATGGTATTTCAATTAAGAAAACATGGTGAGAATTTTATCAAACACAATCTTCTCAAAAAGTACGGAAGACTAGTGACAGGAAAGAAACACTGTAGAATTAAAATTTAAAATTTTTTTAGCCCTGATTTTGAGGAGCGAGAGAGAGAGAAAGAGGTAGCAAGAGAAATCGACTTGGAAAAAGAAAAGGGTAAAGGTAGTTCTCTTTATTGAGAAAAATAATTAGGTTTCGGAGAAATCTGGGAGAGCTTTTAGGTTTTAATTCTTCATGAAATTTCATGTAGAATAGAATTTAAAGCTTAAAAAAGTGATAATGGGTGATATCTCTCCACTTCATAAAGGAGGTGTGGAATTTAAAGACATTTCTTACTTTCATTTTGTAAGATTGACACATTTAATGGATTGCTTCAAGACTCATTTGAATCTAACAAAATCAAATGCTAAAGCTGAAGAAGCACATTCAAATGATCAAATTCCTTAAACAATTATTGCTTCTTCATCAATTAAGGTGGGCACTCAAAATCTAGGACTAATTGATCCTTTGGAAAATGCACATATTGTGCCTTCCCTTGCTAATTTATGAGGACATCAGAGATCTACGGCTACGATCGTGCTTATTAATTTTGATCTATATTATGTATTTGATTTGTTATTGTTCTTTTTCCCTTTCTATCCTCACTTGAGGGCTTTGTCTTATGCATGCTCTAGGGGCAATAGTGTCTTTATTATTTCCCTTCTTGTATTTAGCTATTTAAAGCCTCCCACTGCTCCTTAGAGGGTAATGAATGAATATTAAGAAAAAAATTTCTTGCACTTGTGTGTTTGAGAGAGTTGAGAGCTCTTGGAGAGAGTTTTGGAGAAATCCATAGGGAGGGAAAACGGATCACCCACCAACTATGGTGACGGCCGGGTTCGTGGTTTGTATTATTGTTCTTTTCTTTCAATCTCTTTTTCCTCCTAGCCGCTAGATTTCCTACGCAAGCCACATCTCCCATCACCACCACCTCAAGCCACCACCATCCTTCCCCAACTATGACCACCAACCCGCTTACCCAAAGCCCCACCCCATAGCCGCCGGTCAAAAAAAGTCAAACTCTAGCCGCCAACCATCTGAACCCTAATTCCCTTCCCTCCACAATTCAAATTGTCCTATGCCAATTACATAAATTCCCAACTTGGAATGCATCAATTCCAACTTCCCAATGCATTTGAAATTTGAAATCTTTCCTAATTTATAAATCTATTTTAGGAAGGTTCCTTAAATCAAGCCAAAATCAAATTCAAATTGAATTTTATTTATTTCCTTCTCCTTAATTTGTGGACTTGAATATGGCAACCTTTCAATCCACTTTCCCCATTCCCCTCCACCTCATCAAGACGCTACCCCCTTTTCCTTACCTTTCCCATTAAGGCCTCAATAACACCTCTCCCTTTTAATGCATGTTGTCCCATCAATTCCCCAAAATAAGGAATTTCCAAACTTCAAATATTCCCTCCATTCCCATACCAAATTTGAAATTTAAACACCAGATTTTCCTCCAGCTGGCCATTCTTTCTTTCCAGACAGCCGCCCACCGAATCTGTGTTTTCCATTCAGAGGTTCGACAGATCTTTTCTTGAGAATCCAGCCCCACTACCTTGCCAAATTGCTAATCCAGAAAGGCCAGATTGCTGTTTAAAAATTTCTGCAGGCTTCCCTGCACCGCAACTCCTATCCGGAAGGCTCTAACCATTGCCCAGCATTCCCTAGTCAACCCAGGTTGCAGTTCAGACTTTGTGGACTCAAGAGATTGCTGATGTGAAGCCCCAAATCTGCATACTACTTGATCTTGGTGAACTCTTTCCCTAGTCTCTTACTTTCTTAGTAACCCTACTTCGTGGCTTAATGGATTCGTATAGAGCTTGTTAATTGATCTCCGCTAAAACCTAGTAATCTTAGAGAGTTGAATGAGTGGAATTTCTCATAGTGACTTGTCTCATTGTTAATCTAGGAATATCTTGTTGATAACCCCTCCGTACGCTATGTTTTGAACTATTGATTGTTTGAGATCCTAACTTGATGCGTGTAGCTATGCCTAAATTGATATCACCACTTTTGTTTTACTTCTTCATTTTAATCGCTTAAAGTTACTTCCTAATATTGTTTTCAACAACGAAGCGTGCAATTTCTTTAATTATCATCATCGCATCACCTAGTCTTGCATCATCTAGTATCAGAGCATTGGTTAGCTTATGATTTTAATGCTACACATCATCCTAGGCTTTTATTTGATCAGGCTTATTTAATTTTGCATGTGTATCATCATTTAAATCTTTTTAGATCTTTGTTGTGTTTGCTGTCCAGAAAATTCCTGCACCCATTTGGGGAGTTTTAAGGTTGTTTCTTGAGTATCTAGGTGCTACCCACTATAGCACAACTTCCCTAGATACCTAGATTATTTAACACCTTGTTGTAGTGTGCTGTCCAAACATTTTCTGCATCATTTTGTGTCATTCTAGAGAGTCTGCCATCACTTTTAGGTGCTGTCCTCCTTCTAGATTCTTCCCCTAGTGTCCCCTAGTGTCTAGTTATGGACCCGGAAGAACTTAGCCGGACTTTAGACTTGTTTGTAGGCCAAATGAACAACATTAGCCAACAACTCAAAGAGAATCAAGTCGACCTAGCTAAACTTCGTAGGGACACCACCGAACGCTTTGACACGCTTGGAAAATCTAGTGAACATCCACCCCTTTACACCCCATGTAGACCTCCGTCTATGTATGCAGATGAAACCTATCAAGATGAGAGGCAACGTCGTGCCAATCATCGAGCTCCGCAGTTTAGACAACCCACACCACGACTCTGACATGCCCCTAATGAAAAACATTAAAGTTGATGCTCTTACCTTCGATGGCAAACTCGATCCCCAGCTCTTCCTGGACTGGGTCAAAGGTATGGACAATTTATTTAAGTGGTATAATATCTCCGAGGCTAGGAAGGTTAGTTTTGCTGAGATGAAACTCACGGGCAGGGCGAGCCAGTTTTGGGCAAACTTAGAGAGCCTTATGGAAGCCAGGAATGATTACCCAATCACTGATTAGCCATCTATGAAACGCGAACTTAAGAAGTACTTGCCCCCTCGTACTTCCCTAGGTTGTTGGATAGATGGAATAGGCTGACTCAAGGCAACAAACCAGTCAAGGAATACATCGCGTCCTTCAATGACTACCTGATTCGACGCAAATGGGAGACCTCTACCAGCCATGCGCAGATCTTGTCGATGTTTCGTACCGGGTTGCGAGAGGATCTTCGCAACGAGTTGTTTGCCCAGAACGACACTACCCTGGAGAATGCCTACAGCCTAGTACTTGATTTAGAGGAGACCCGTTCCCAACACCATAATCGACACCACGTCTCTAGGCCTTCCTACAGACCTTCTAGTAGTTCCACCCCTCACACCCCCACAGCCCAACCGACCCCAGGGAGCACTGCCTGACCCTCGCCTGGTCCCTTCACTCCCCGTCCTGATGTTAGAAGTAAACGTCCCACTCCGAATACCCCTCGGTCCAATCCCGGGACCAAGTGTTTTAGATGTCAGGGGTATGGGCATATTGCCTCTTAGTGCTCTAGTCCCTATAATGTCACGATTATCGAAGGGATCATTGAGGAGAAATTCGAGCCCGAAGTCAATCAGATTCACCACGTAGACGACTATGGTGAATTCTTTGAGGAGGATGACGACACTGCTGTCATTCAGTACATTCAGAAAATTGACACTTCTCCCACTTGCGTGGTGAGATGTGCACTGTCACAGCCCGTTACCACCGACGACTGGCATAGGACTACGATATTTCACGCCTACACCAAAATCAATGATAAGAACTGTAAGGTCGTAGTGGATAGTGGCAGCTACATCAATGTTGTCTCCTCCAGCATGGTGTCTAAGCTTGACTTGTCTATAATTCCCCACCCCAACCCCTATAAGGTAGCTTGGGTTTACACCACTGCCTTGGAGGTAAAGGAACGAAGCATCATACCCATCTCCGTCGTTGGCTATAAGGAGAATGTTTGGTGTGATGTGTTGATTATGAATGTTGGACAATTCTTTTTGGGCCGTCCCTAGCTCTTTGACAACGATGTCCACATTTATAGTCGTTCAAACACCTGCGTGTTTGAACATAAGGGCAAAAAGATCAAACTTTTGCCATCACAGCCTCGGGTTACGCTTGATCCTGAATCCAACCCCGTTAAAGCTAAGAAGATACTGAACCTAATAGCCTCCATAACCAAGAGAACACCTTTACACACCTTAGTTGATCGTGAGGCTCCCACTGAGTCATACGAATCTGTCCCTCAGGAGAGTCAGCCCATGCATAGAAGACTTATTGAGGTCTTACCTGATGATCTTCCCAATCCATTAACCCCGATTAGAGGCATTTAATATGTTCTAATTCTAGCCCCTGGAGCCTCCATACCCAAACGCCTCACAGTTGGACTCGTATACCTTGATTCGGTGACCTGTACAATTGGTTTGAGTCCTTTTAAAATTGTTTATGGGTTCAAACCTAGACAGTTACTAGACCTTATATCCATATGTTTTAGGTATAGGATTTATGAATCTGCATCATAATTTGCATCGCATTTGCATGAACTAAACAAAGACATTGCATGCCGAATTGAATAAAGCAATATTAGTTATAAACTTCATGCTGATTTAAAATGAAGATTTAAAGCTTTT